AAAGTTTATAAGGTATATATATATATATATATAATGATTTCATAAGTTTTTATTTATTTCTTTAACAGGAAGAGTGATTGTTTGGTTCATTTATAAGAAAAAAATAGTAGGAAGACAAATTATGACTATAATAAAACCAAAAGTTTATGAGAAGATTACATCAATACCAAAAAAATAACTCCAAAATACCACTAAAATATCATATAAATACCTCTTGAATATTACATAAATATCACTAGAATATCACCATAATACCACAATAATACTATTATAATAACACAACAATATCACAACAATACCACAATAATATCATAACAATACCACAAGAATTCCAATTGAATACCACATAAACAACACTTGAATATTATCTGAATAACACCATAATACCATCATAATACCACAATAATTTCAATATAATACCACAACAAAATCATAATAATACCACCAGAATGTCACAAGAATATCCCCAGATTACCACCATAATACCACAATAAGATACCAAAATATCAGCAGAATACCACCAGAATATCAGAATAAGACACCTGAATATTATGATGGTATTCTTGTGGTATTTTGGTTGTATTATTTTGCTATTATTATGATATTATGGTGGTATTCATGTGATGTTCACGTGATATTATGGTGGTATTATGATTATATTATTATGGTATTTTTGTGAAATTTTGGTGATATTCTAGTGGTATTTTATTGGTATTATTGTTGTATTTTAGTGTTATACTTGTGGCATTCTGGTGGTTTATTGATGATATTTAGGTGGTATTCATGTAATATTCTGGTAGTATTTTGGTAATACTATCGTGGCACTTTTATGGAGTTTTGATGACATTATGATGATATTCTGGTGGCATTGTGATACTCTTGAGAAATTTTTCTGGTATGCTTCTGATATTTTAGTGGTATTGTGGTGATATTCTGGTGGTATTCCAGATATTTTTTGGTAGTTTTTTTTTTGTATTCTGGTGATGATCTTGTGATATTCAAATTATAAAGTGATGCCCATTATTTGATAGAATGATGGTGTTGCGATTTTTTTTTTTGTAATAATGTAGCATTTGTATTTTAGTTGTATTATGTCATGGGTGGTATTTAAGTTTCTACAGTTAGTTGTAATCTTTTTGAAATATGATGATGCTGTGAATGTCTTATGGTGTTATTATGGTTATCTTAAGGTGGAATTGAGGTTGTAGTGTGTTAATATTAAAACTGTATTATTGTGCTAAAATGATGACATTATGGTGCTTCATGATGATATCGAGGGGTACTTACAAATATTTTTAATATTGAGAAAATAATGATGTTTTCTATTTTTCAAATACATTCAACAGGTAAACTGCCCAAAATAAAATCTATTGCTTTAAAATTATAAAGTCAGTAATACATATAACTGTAATGAGATATTTGCAAATGTTGCATTGAACAAATAAAACAAACAAAGTTTTATATTGAACATATGAGTCCGGAAAAAATTATTGGATCAATCGAAGTTTTACATTAAACAAATAACGATAAATGAAGAATTATACTTCACGGTTACAGAAAAGATAGATACTTGAAAATCAAATAAAATCGACTTATTTTCTTTGTTTACCTCCATGGTTTCTTCTTTTTTTCTTTATTTTTCATTCGTTGGATCTGTTATAGCTAATGTAAAAACTTGAGCATTGTATGTTGAACAACAAATTTAATTAAGAAAATTATACAACCAAAACTAGCTAGAAACATATCGAAACCTTGTTAAGCTTGCTTTTAAATGAGTAGGCGGAGTCCCTGACGGGGTGTCGGTGTCAAAATGCCAGTGACAAAGACTCCAAAATCTCTAACGTGCTTCCAAGTGCAGTGGTGAAGAAGCTAAGAGGTCAGCCGTGCTAAAACAAGCCCAGTGTCAAAAAGCTAAAACAGTTAATGTTTCTTCAGACAAGAGAACCCTAAACCTCAAAATTTAACATGAAAATACTAGCCCGTAAAAAATAAATATGAATAAACAAAGTGCAAAAAATATATTTTTAATATATTTTTTTTAAATGGTGAAAGCCGGACCCACAGCAGGCTTTTTTTCTGGTTTTCTAGAGTTCCTTGCGTGAAACCGTGACGCGAAGATCCTAGCGAGAGGATCTCCGATGGCTTGGGCCGTAAGGATTCGTCGTGCTGCCGCTCCCGACCTTCCTTATCGTGCTCGCGAATTTTTCTCCGGCAATTTTGCCGCTTCAGTCAGTGCGGATAGCGACGAGACTGGTCTCTATGGATTTCAGGTCCTCAAGACAGCCAAGGGTTTTCGGAGGTTTGTGGATGAGGCCATCGAAAGGTAATCTTCCAGTCTAGTACTGTCTCAAAATCTCAAACAGCAATCACATACTTGTTTATTGATTGCTCTAGCATCCTGTCCCAGTGCCGATGATCTCGTATCCCGTATTTCTCAGATGCCACCCTCCGAAGAAGTCATTAAGGCCATGGATGATATATCTAATACTGTACTATTCTCTACTGTCTTGCATTTATAATCTTAGCACTTTGTCTCTCAAAGTGGCCTTAGGATGTTGCTTGGCAGGTATGCTCAGTCATTGACTCTGCGGAGCTCTGCAGGAACACGCATCCGGATAGGTGATCCACTGCATTCTATTAGTTTTATTAGGGTATGCGCATAAATAACGGTAGTTTAGCAAACGGCTGGTTTCAAAAAGTGTTCACCGAAACATAGGCAATTCCACTAGGATTTCTTTTGAAACCTGACAGAACTAGTACGGTTTTTCACAATACCTGGAAGTGAATCATACCAGGATTTTATAAAAACCCTGCTAATAATACAAAAAATTTATAAGAAATGCTAATAGTACTGCCAGGGTTCCAGGAAAACTTTTATAAGTTCAGAGTTAGCTGTCTTTATTTGTGACATAGGATTAACGATGATCCTTGGTTACAAAATTTTGAAACTGTTGTTCTTTTTCACATGAAAGCCTATGAAGAGATTTATACAGATGCCCTTCAATTTTTTTTTTTTTTGAAACTGAGATTTCAATTCAAGTTTTGTCTCAAGCTATAGTTTCATTGCTTCTATTCATTTATTGTTGATGCCCATCAATACTGATGTTTTAGGGAGTTTGTTGAGGAAGCTAACAAGGCATCCATGAGGATTTCAGAGTATTTGCATGTGAGTTACTCTGATTATTGAGTTTTTGCTAATGTATTGCTACACTCTTAACATGGACTATTTTGCTCCATATTTTATTCACATGAGCTTTTAACTAGCGTTGGTTCCTGCGTGTAAGCTTATCAGTAGTGTTGTCTCTAGTTATTTAGTCGTTATGTGATTGTTGATGAACACTAATAGTTTTGGATGGTTACCCTGGCATATGGGACTATTTTATTGTGTAAAAAACCAAACTAAATGAGCATTTATTTATTTATTTTTGTTTTCCTAGGAGCATATGAAATTTATTAAAACCCTTGAATTTGTGATAATGCTTGTTGGACACAAACTCAACACAACCTATGTTATTTTTTACTAATTAAATGACATATAAGTTTTACATTATATACTCTCACTTTCACTCTTTTCCATTATTGCTTACTCTTGTTACACTTCACTTAATGTTTTTTTTTGGCTGTGTGCTTGATTATAATAGAAGAATGTTAAATATTTTTCATATAAATGCAACTAAATATTGGTTATACACACATGTATGTATGGTATACATGTCTATGTATGGTCTTTGAGCCCTCTTCATGAAATGGATGTTTTTTTGTCACATAGTTTTTTTTTTGTTTTGTTAAAAAGGAGAAATCATCAACCGATGTATTTTGTCAAGATGCATCGACGTGTAAGCCTAAAAAGAGAGAAAAACTAATAAAATTAAACAAGAATCATAAAAATTACAAATAATTGTTATGTTGATTTAGTTTATTGTTATAAAGATAAACCGCACATTTAAACATAAAGATTGATATAAAATTGAAGTTTGAAATCTGATTCTAGATAAGAATTCACTTAAACTTTAAATATTCCACAAGGATTATGATCTCTAGTGACCACATCTTTTGCTTTCATCATCTTCAAAATAATCATATTTATTATTATCTAATTCCATCTTTTTGGTAACTTGAAAATGTTCTTAAATTACTATACATTTTTTTTACTTTTTATATCAATTAATATTAGATCCAATATAATTTCAAATAAATGACTAAATTAATGTCATAATCAAATAATCATACTAAAATTATGTTTTGACTTTTTTGAGTCATTTGATCAGATATATTAATTGTAATATAATATAATATAATATAATATAATATAATATAATGTAATATAATTTTTTGCATAGTTTAATTGAAGCACTGCCTTAAACACCTCGAGACTTTAATTTTGTGCTTTATTTTGAGGTGCATTTTGAGGTGTATGCCTCAAATGCCTTTTTAAACAATGGTCAATAATGGAGTATTCAAATGGAAAATCGGGGCAGTAAACTCTAGAACTTTACTCATTGACTCATACATGCTTCATTCATATAAAGTTTACATGAAGTTTTTATCCTAATGAAACCTCAAGATAATTAAGTACATAGATATATATATTTTACAAATCCTTAATTGTGACTATTGGCTTTCATTTATTTAGAACAATTTATTACTCTTGATTTTGAAGATGGGAAAAATTAGCATTTTGCTGAAAGGTGTTGCATTTCCTTAAAAAGAGGGCAATCAAATTTAATTTCTAGTTATTACTGTATTGTAGGTGAATGTGAAGATCCACATAAATGTGCATGTATATGTCTGCATGCTTCAATTTATAAACATATAAAAAATGCCATGTACATAAGAATCTTTAATTACTAACACACAAAAATGTATATATTCCGTTAATATGAAAGTATGACACTTTGTCCATTTTTATTTTTCAATAGGTTTAATTCTCCCAAATCTATATAAATGTTGTTATTCCTCATCTTCTTTATAGAAACTAGAAAAAAGAACCAATAGCTAAGGCTTGCTAAATTTTTCTTAGCAGTTGCTTCCCTAAAACAAAATTGATATCCATGCTACATAAAACTCTACACTTCCCTTTAATATTTTCTTCACCACACGCAATTCACATTTATAATTGCTCTTTCATACTTGTTAAAGTGTCAGTAATGTTATTTTACATAACATAACCTATCACAACATTAGTAAACTATGTTGAAATTCCATGGATTTTGTGGGCTCTGAAAATTCATGCCCTAACTTATCTTGGGAGTTTTATTTGTGTTCTGGGTTAGGTTTTCACAAGTAGATTATATATAGAGATTTTGTACTTATTTTGTGTGGATTTTATAATATGGTTTGGGATTTTTTATTTGCTAATTATCACTTCTGTTGATGACAAAGAATTTTTGATTAAGGTTGATTGCTAGGTTACTAATTGTCTAGTGTATGGTGCAAGCATTTATGATATTGTGTTGAACAAATAATCTTTTTTTAGCTTAGAGTAGAGGGCAAAGAGGATGAAAATGAACCTAGTTAAGATATCATGGTTTTGCTTTCTTGGGTTGTTGTGGACAATGTTCTATTTAGTTAGAGATGTTAGTTGACTCAACATGATCGAATAATTCTTATGAACACATATTGGTTTCATTTTCTAGGGAGTTCTTATGAACTAGGGGTGAATGTTTATCTAAGTGGATGAGTTTAAACTAACCTTGGTTAATTAAAAAATTTGAGCCATATCAAGTGTATTCTATAATTCACTACTCTATGGATTTATTGTAGTACCTCCAACAACAACAACAACAATATCCCACTAACTAGGGTTGGGTACATGAATCCTTTTTCCCCATTGCGTCCTGTTGAGTGTCATATTTTCATTTATTGTAATGCCTAAAATGACAAAAAATGGTAAAATAAAAATTGAATTTAAAGCCAATAAAGGTAAGATGGTAGAGCTTAATGAATTAAAAAAACAATGCAAGCCATTTTGGTTACTGGTTGAGAGTTTTGTCTTTCAACTAAGAGGTCTTGAGTTCAAGTTCTTGCATATATGAGGTGTGTGCGCTTGCATGTGTGTGTAAGAAAAAAAACATGAAATTTCATTGATCGTATTTGCATATTACAGTTTATGCATTCATTACCTAACGTGAATATATGCTTGTTAACAATCAACACCAAAAATACAACACAACATGTGCTATTTAATATTTTGTACTTAATGATATATTTTTACAAAAATATTATAAATTTTAAAGAACTTGTATGCATATATATATCAATTAAACTTTGCAAACATGATGAAAAATATGTTAAATATGATGAAAATTTAAATGAAAATACACAAGTCGATATATTTATATTCAATTGCATATATTAGACCTATTAGATATTTGCTTCTTATTTTCAAACATAAATATCACACCAAAATTTTTCGATTTCTCGCTGGACATATTTTGATTTTTCCCCACCTCTAAACTTGAATCTTTTATACACAACTTGACGAATTCAATAAATTTATCAATCTGTAACTAGCTCATATTCATCAATTATACTCAAATTTTCATAAGATAATAATACTTGCCTCAAAACCTTCTCTCAACTTAAAATCTTTCATGAGGCTATGGTGCTCCGCATTTTTTTTCTTAAATTTGTTAAGCTCTACCTTCTTATCTTTATTGGCTTTGCATGCTTATCTATAAAGAACTGGAATTTAAATTTACTTATATGCGGGGTGTGTGCATATCGGATTTTATTGCCTTTGGATGCTTATATTTAGAGAATTGGAATTTAATTTCACTTTATTTTATCTTCATAGCATTCTTTGATGTTACTTTGAGCATTTAAAGCATTCATTGGAGCATATGTAGAAAAACTGCTTTTAGTGATTTGACTTACGTTGCATATTTTTTTTGGAATGATTGCACATATCATGAAATACAGCAGTGAACCACTTCTCTCCCCTAGAAACCTTTTGTTTGTGGGAATGTTGTTCACAGGTTCGTAATTTTGCTTGAGATGTGCATTGGTCACTTTTAATGATTGACTTATATGTTGTTTAGGGCACTTGTATGCTTGTGACAACATTGGATTAGGGTATTTGGTTTTGTTTGGAAGGATTCTTATTCATGTGCACCCATAGCCATTTGAAAGGTAAAAGACATGTTGGGTTGGTCATTCACGTAAATTTATTATTGTTATTATGTGCATGTAATAGCATTTTGAATTCATTATCGGTCAAATTTTGTCTGCATGCTTGTTTCAATTCGCATATTTGGTTGCGATTATTAGAGGCCTTAATGCATGTCAAGTGTTTAAGTTATTGCATATAATGTGTATTTGGCTGATGAAATCATTCTTTTCTTATAAATAGGAATGCTACTTTGCTCATTTGCATTCCAAGTATAATTTGCCGAGTGTTTCTCAAAGATTTTGAGCATTTATGATTGTTTGTGTAAGCAGTGAATTTCTGTGCTTGCAGGCGAGATTTCATGTTTATTGTAAGTTCCCTTAGTTTTAGTTTTATGTTCAATTTCTTTTTCTGTTTTGTGTTCAATTTCTTTTTTAGTTATGTTTTTATTTTATTTTATTTTTACACGACTTGCATGTTATTTTGGGTGTTTGTTTAATGTCATTATATATCTATATATATATATATATATATATATAATTCATATTTGCAGTCCTAAAATCTATTTGAGCACATTTCATTTTAAGTCCCATCTCTCTAGAAATTTGGTAGCCACCTAGCATCTCCTCTATATAGAAAGCTTCTTAGGGAGTGTTAGGCCCGCCTACTACAGAATTTTATATGTGTTGTTTGAGATATTATGGCCGAGTCTTTTACTTCTACAATGCTAAGAAAAATGCATATTTGTATTCCTTTACTTATAAAAAGATTTGTATATGAATTTTTTTACAACATCAGAGAACACACATATTGGTAATTATTTTGAAAATGTTGGTCTTCAATTGCCACCACATCAATAAAGATACACATGAGTTTTGTCCTCACTATGCCAAGAAAGATATATATGAGTATTCACTTGTAGGAGAAAGATTGTACAATCAATGTAATATTTCTTAGCCACATTAGGACAACGTCAATGAGTGCATAGATACTGCTTTGATTGGCTTGCTTTTGAACAATTCTCACATGCACGGTGTGTCGGTGATGAGGCGGTGAGGCCACAACTTTTCTTTTCCTTCTTTCTTGTTTATTCTTCTCTTCTTTATTCTTCTTTATTTATTTATTTATTTATTTTATTATCTTTTTTCTAAACTTTTTTTTCTGAGGGTGGAATGAGAGAGAGAGAGAGAGAGAGAGAGAGAGAGAGAGAGAGAGAGAGAGAGAGAGAGAGAGAGAGGTGGGATGATGAGAAGAAGAGAACAAGAGGGGGGTTGATAGTAGTTGGCTTAGCAAAATTTTGGCTAAATATGTAGGTCTCCGTACTCCTCTTCTCCTACATTGCCTTTGTTACCATCAATGCCTTCTTACACAAGCTCTCATGCACAATCTCCTCTCCTCCATGCAGCGCTGATCTTGTCGTTGCTTTCTCTTGCGAGAACCCCATATGGTTTCTTGGCTTACACATGCAACCTGCTCTGTTGACATTTCCCCAGCAAGCTCACCATGCAACTTCTTCACACACCGGTGGTTTGATTGAGGTCTTCTCCATTGAGTTGCATCACTTTTTCCTTGTTTCTTCTTTGCCAAAGGTTTTGGGATTGGGGGAGGAGCGCTTAGGGAGAAGACAAGAGAGATGGGAAGCCAAGAGAGTATGTGGGATGCAGGGATTGGGCAGGGTTACGGGCTCCATGTTAAGAAGTGGGGTTTGCGTAATTATGGCAATGTGGGAGATGAGATGGGAGCGTGGCTGGCAGGTAACAATTGTAAGGTTATTATTATTATTTTTTCTATAAGGTCAATATATCTTATGATGGAGTGTATGAGGGAGGATTACCATTAACACAACTAAAATGATTCACGTTCGTAGCTTGGATCTGGCCCATGTTCCAGGTGCTTTACAAATAAAATACATTCATTCAATCATTAGTGAATAATATTTCAATAACAACCCATGATCCTTTATTTATGGCAATAACATTACATGGATAAGACTAATATTTAAATGCAAAACTAATTCTAATAATTGTTCAAATATAAACTTAATATTATCCTAAGGAAGATTAAAAAAAAAAAACCTAGTAAATTAGATCAAGTTAAAATAAGCGATGTAGGGCCAAAATAGAAATGGGTTTTAAGTATCTTGAAAATGGGTTCAAATCAATTATTTTATTCCTTAGTTTGGATTGTGATAATTAACTTACGACCAATTGAGCTGTTGTGAGATGATTTGACCTTTTTAGTGTCCTGTACCACATCAACACTCTAGGGGTGCAACTAACTGAATTACCCTTTAGGCTGAGATGAGTTTGATTTGGATTATATTTATGCTTGGGTTAACTTTAGGTTGGGTTATGTGTATCCAATGACTGATTTTGAGCTAGTCTGACTAAAGGACATTATATTTAGGCTGGTTTATTTTATTTTTGTAAAACTTAAATTGGCTTGAATTAGTCCAATTTAGCTTAAATTTACCTGTGGTAGTTATGGGTTATGGCTTAAGCTTACATCTGGTATACCAATCACTTTGGATTTTAGGCTTTGTTAGGTTAATTAAGTTATTTGGTCCAACGGAGTAGGTTGAACCTAAGCCAAATTGAACGAGGATTTAATTGGCAGTGCTTTGCATTATTTAGCGTAAGTTGACTTTGGCTTGCTTGGGGCCCGTTTGGGGCAGCTTAAAAGTGCGGGCGGCCTTTTGAAAACGCCGCCTTGCTGTTTGGTTAGCACTTATTGACAGTTTATATAAAACTGTGTTTTTAATTTTGTAAAAGATGCGGACCGCGGGAAGGGAGACATATTGACTTCCGTGACCCTGCCCTCATACGATTCCCGTGGCCCTGCCCTCCCTCGCATCAGCCATTACTCCTTCACAAGACTCGATCCCTAAGCGGTCCTAGGAGGAGATCCGGTGTGTTTTGCCTTCTCTTCTCTGGCATCTTCACTTCTGCATCTCCTTCGACATTTCTCTCAATAGGTATAATTATTTCTTCTTCGCATGTTTCATCTTCCATCATCGTCTTTTGCTGTGGTTCGAGAAATCGGTTTGAGCTTTTGTTTTTCTCTCAACAGGTAGATCCTGTGTGCTTCTCTTCTCCCATTTCACGATCGAAGTCGCATTTGGCATTTCCTTTTTCACCATTTCTTTCAATAGGTATACCTATTCCTTAGCATGTCTCATCTTTCTTCTTCATTTGCAACCGTTCGTGAAATCCGTTTAGATTTTTTTTTTCCGGTGGATCCGTTTGTGAAATCATGTTAGATCTATTTTTTTTTTGTTTTTTCTAGTGGATCCGTTCATGAAATCCGGTTAGTTCTATTTATTATTTTTTTTGTTCCGGTAGATCTGTTCATTTAAAGATAAAAAAATGTGATTGATGATGTTTTTTCTTTGCTTTGTGGTTGCGAAAAATGATGTTTCATAGATATCTCGAATATGATGGGCTCGTTTTTAGGGACAAATGAATGAAATCAAAATTATTATTTTCGGAACCGTTATGTCCACCTATATGCAGCTATTTTTGGAGATAACAAGGCCCGGAAGACTGCAAATTCTCCAGGTGGGCCGACAGTGCAACTGTTTCTACGATATCCCAATTGGACACAACTGCTAGAAGTTCGATAATACCACAACGAGAGACCACCACATATGGTTCGAGTTATTCCGTTTCTACGGCATCCCAGTCGAACAAGTTTGCTTGGGGTTTTGAGGTATCAGAACCAGACAACATTCGTCGTGATGTGCTTTTAGATGTGCTTTTACATTTTAAAGGCTTTTACATTTTAAAGTCAGTATTGTCATATTTTTCCTTGTAATTTTAACATGTTATTTTTTTTAGGGTCATATTATAATTTATATTAGTGTGTGAATGTGTACTTCACTTTCTTATGTGTCACTGTGCTTATTTGATGTAATCAGAACTTTTTGAGTTATATAAATATTATTCAACTCTTTTGCATTTTTATGTTTTGACATTTGAGAAAATAATAAATTATACTACACAGATTATTAATTTAACTAAAAAAATTTACAAATAAGCTGTTTACAAAAAACACAAACCAAAAAGCTAAACAACTTATTCAGAATAGAGACATATTGATCATTTTTCCAGAATAAGCTGTTTTCCATACACACAAACCAAACAACCAAATAGTTTATCCGGATCAGATGCTCATCAACAGATTATCAGAATCAGTTGCTTATCAGACTATCAGCAGAAGCTGGATAAGCTGCAGCAGCCCCAAACAGACCCTTAGATTGACATATCAGTGATGTTCTCCAAGTTAGGCTATTTATTCCAGTCTAGATCCATTAGGATCAAATCATTGCTAGCAGACTTAAAGAATTTCATTTGGGCTAACTTTGAGCTAGGATAATTCAGATAGGTCAGGGTACCATAGAGGATCAATTTTGTCTAATGGGGCCAAGCTTTAAGTCTTATTTAAGGTTAGGGAGTCTAGTGGATCTTAAGGGCTGAACTAACTATCGTTTAATTAAAATTAAGAAACTCTTATTGAGTCAATATTGACAAGGTTTTTTGTTTGGTCAAAGTTGGTGCTTCACAATGAGTTTTGAATATTTTTTATGTTTAGTGGACTTGAGGTGAGTTTGCTGGGGCTAAAGGCACCATGCTGAGTCTAGGGTCCTTTATTATTAAGTTTGACCCTGAGTTGGGCTTTCACCTATTGCTAGAAATTCAATATTTTGATGTTGTACAAGTTCAATAAGGACTCCTGGGTTGTTTATAAAAGTAAGTTGAACTAATGACCTTGTTTGTAGAAGTTTGGAAAACTTATGGATGCTTTCACTCTCATTTAAAACTTTTGTCATTTTTACAACAGGATGAAGTACTGGGGGTTTTGTACATTTTCCTAATTTCAGCTCCTTGCTAAAGCTCCATTATTTAATTTCAAAAGTTTTCATGCTAACTAGGCCAGCTCTATTAAAAAGTTTTGTGGTCTTGACATGGCTCTTCAGTTTCTGAACACAAATCATACTTTATACAATGCCGTCTTAATTGCTGAGCAAGTAGGATCAATACAATCAGAAGAAGCTAGAAGGGCAGCCCATAGCCTAAGAGTTGACTTTGAAAAGGGTGGCATTCATCTTCCTAGTGGTATAGATTCATCAACAACTTTAATGAATTGCTTGTCTGCTTATATGGTGCGTTCTGTTTTACTGATTCTTGCCTTGATTGTGACAGATAAGTTGGAACGAGTTAACCAATTAAACGCACAGATTGCTCAGCTGAGTAGACAGTGCGTTCAAACTTTCAACGATCTCTAACATGCTGTGTAATTTTATTGCTGCGAGCCTTGCATTTTGCATTCTTGTTGCATAACTTATATGGATATGATTGCCTCTGCACCAGCAGTTCTTTTAAGTTCCCGGAAATGTGTTTCATATCATACGAGCTGATCTAATTTCAATGTTTTTATTTATTTTACATAAAATAATTCATGTCATACTTTTCTGATGAACTTAAACCATGATCTTAACAGAGCAAAAACTCATGATAAAAAATTTTCTTCCCATCCATACGTTATACTGTTCATTTGAGAGCTTTGAAATATTTTTGATTTATCTATGTCGCTATTACATAGGTAGATGGTGCAGGATTGTTTAATTAACTTCTAGTTTTCCGCTTATAAAATATAAGCTAGACATTAGAAGGTTTTAATTTATGTTTGAAGGTAAGGTTCATATCACCCGTTTGTCTTTCAACCTTTTTTCCCCTTCTCTATAAAAATTAGTTATGATTATTTAATGAGTTAGTCGTGAATATATTAATTATGTGTGCTAGTCGTGAATATATTAAATCATAAAAATGAGCACCTTTGATTCGCTCAGTTATGTTACTATTAATACATGAAATTTGAAATGAAAAGTTTGTATCAAAAAATAACAAGATACTTCCACATGACGTCAAGTATATTAAATTTTTCTGACTTTATCAATTCTGTAGTATGATATTTCATTTTAGCTTTACAATATGTCATGTTTAGTCACCTAGTTTGTTGATCATCATATAACTTAGTCTGAAGGCTATTGAAACTTGTGATTATCTAGTTCATTATTATCATGATATTTTATTGTTTAGTTTAATGGAGCCCAGATGAAACTCATCATTGTCCCTATTGAACTAGCTTGACGACCATTTTGCCTCTAAAGGAGAGACTTTTACTTCAAGGGCCCTTTTGCCCTACCAGTGTAAGTACATAATTTATCACTGCTAATTTTTTCACCATAACATGACATTTCTTAATCCCCAAACTTTTCATAATTAATTATTTTAATAAATATATAGTTCATGTTCAAAATATATTAACTAATCGCATATGTAATAAATAATTTATAAATACGAAATGTTTTTTTTTTAAACAATGTTGCTAATTAAGAAATTCTTTTTATGATAAAAACGTACGCACTTGCAAACCCGTATCTGCCAAACTTTTATGTAAATCCTTTTTCATGAAACAAAAAGCTATAATTATGCATCTTACAATAGAAATATTTTATACTATGCATTTCAAACATTAATCTATTATATATATAAATTTATGAACAAAAGATTGAAAAGTTTAGTTTTTGTTATTAAAATTCGTAAATCTTATCCACTGGAAGAATAGAATACAATTAAATGATTTTTTGATGAATTTCTAGAACGTTGAGTTTTTGGGTCTAATTAATTTGAATATTTTTGCAATTATTCTTTTTAAAAATGTTGTATTGCACGACAGAAATAGAAATGCAAGCAGAAGTTAAATTCTAATAATAGTGAGATTCATAATAGAATAAATGAGAAGTCTAGAACTAATTATTTACAGGATGTTATCAAGTTGATATCTCAAGTAGTGGATAAGATAACTGCTATTGATAAATTTTCTACAAGCAGTGTGCTAAGATTTGAATTTGGTATGGAAGTTTATCAACATTTGAGGATTTTGCAGACATGCAAGCCACCTATATTTAATAGAGCTAGGGACCCTATAGTTACTGAAGATTGAAATGATTTTAAAATATATGATTTGTCTAGAGAATAAAAGTAAATAAATAATTTAAATTACCTGAAGCTTTTCTACTTAGTGCATTTGCCACCACATTTGCCTTCCCTGGATCATACTTAATATCTAAATCATAAACTTTAATAAATTCTAGCCATCTCCGCTGCCTCAAGTTCAACTCTTTATGAGTGAAATTATATTTCAAACTCTGGTGGTCAGTTAAACTTCACATCTAACTCCGTAGAGATTATGCCTCAATTTCTTGAGTACAAATACAAGATTAACATGCTCCGAGTCATGCCTGAGATGGTTCCTTTCATGATTTTTCAATTGCTGCGACGTATATGCAATGACTCTACTATGCTGCATAAGTACACAACCCAAACCCCTCAAAGTTGTATCGCTGTAAATCTGAAATCCATCATAGCATGACGAAATGACTAATACTGGAACATACATTAAACAAGTCTTCAGCTTCTGAAAGGCCTCTTTACAACGATTTTACTATTCAAACTTCATCGCCTTCTGAGTTAACATTGATAGTGGCATAACAATTTGTGAAAATCCTTCAACAAATCTCCTATAATAACCAACCAAATCTAGAAACCTCATGACCTTATTGATAGTAGTAGGTTTGGCGAATTTGAAATTGCCTTCACCTTGTTCTGATCCACAGATATGCCATCTCCACTGATAATGTGCCCAAGAAAATCCACACTTTTAAGCCAAAATTCACATTTAGAGAATTTGACATAGTGTATTCTTCTTCAAAACTTGTAACATAACATGTAAATGATCTGCATGACTGACTTCATCCTTTGAATACAATAGAATATCATCTATAAAGACGATCACAAAGACATCCAAAAATTGCCTAAAAACCCTGTTCATCAATTCCATGAAACTGCTAGAGGATTTTTCAGTCCAAATGACATCACCATGAATTCATAGTGCCCATATCTAGTCCCGAAAGTGGTCTTCTCTATTTCTTCTTCTCTGATCCTCAGCTGGTGATAATTTGACCTCAGATCAATCTTTGAAATACAAATGCCCCTGCCAACTGATCAAATAAATCGTCAATCATCGGCAGTGGATATTTATTTTTAACAGTGAGCTAATTCAACTCCTTGTAATTAATACACATCTTGAAACTCCCATTCTTCTTCTTCACAAATAACATTAGGGCTCCCCAAGGTGAGGTGCTAGGCCTGATGAATCCCTTAGCTAGTAACTCCTGTAGTTGGTTCTTCAATTTCTGCAACTTCTTAATTGCCATTATGTAGGGTGCCTTGGATACAGGCTCAGAACATGGTAAGAGCTCAATACTGAAATCAATCTCTCCCACTAGTGGTAGCACTACTAAATCATCAAGAAAAACCTCTGGATATTCTCTTACTGCTGGAATATCATCCAAAGACTTTAATTCCTTAGAAGTATCTGCCACTTGAACAAGAAAATCATGACTTCCATGATTCAACAATTTGCAAGTTTTCATGCAGTTAATTATCTTAAACGCCAGTCCTCTGTCGCCAGAAAATTTAACTCCGCCTCCTCATGTACATTTGTTCTAATGGTCTTCTTATTGCAATCAATAGTGAAAAAATTTTTAGACATCCAATTCATGCTTAAAATCACATTGAATTCCATCAAGTGCAACACAATAAGTTGGGCATTAAAATTTTTTCCACCAATCATAACCTCCACCTCACATGATTGATCAACATCCAGAAAAACGCTGTTTGACATTTTAACTTATAGTATCATAGGCCTTAAAATAGCATTCAATTGCATCATATTAGCGGTTTATCAACAATAAAAGAATGTGATGCTCTCAAATCAAATAATACTCTTATCAGACTACTCTGAAGATATATGATACCTACTATTAAAATCATTGCATTAAACATTTAAAGTCGACTTATTAATATATTTAAACCCTTACTTATTTTATGACAAGAATCTTAAGATGCTTAAAGTGTATTGGGTTGAAAATTTTAAAAGTAAAACATACCTGTGATGACGTCAACGGAGTCCTTAGCTTCTTGCTATGATATTGCATATACTTTAGGTTGAACATTCTGTTGAGTCTGATTTGTATTTGACACTGAACCTGATGATGCAGCTACCCTCGATCTACCATAACTCCTCTGAGGTGGTGCAACACTGCTCCTGGAATTTGCTGGGGCCCTCTGACCCAATTTGGGGCAATTTTTTGCCATTTGTGGTTGGTGGCACCAAAAGTAAGTGTTTGATCCTCACAGATGCTTGCCCTTGTGAGACCTTCCACACTTGTCACACTTCTTCACTTCAAACTGAGTGTCAATTATGCTGGATTTAGCCTTCTTTGCACTTACACTATCTGACTGAATGGACTGTCTATGAGAGCCCCGAGGAAACCTATCTCTTTGAATTTCTTCTTTTCTGATTGTCGCTCCTCCTCTGAGTAGCCTCCAGATCCAACTCATTCACTAAAATTGAGTAATCATTGATTCCAAGAGGAATCAATGACTGTCTAATCACATCTCTGAGGCCAAACAAAAATCAGTGACACTTCTCTGTATTAGGAATCAATTGGGATGCATACCTTGAGAGCATGATGAATTTAGCTTCATACTGTATAATTGAGCGATCAACCTGTACCAACTTGATAAACTGTCCTGCATCTATCTTCTTACAGACAGTGGTACAAACTAATCTCTAAAGGTGCTCACGAACTCACCACATTGAATCATGTGACTGGTCCACTCCTAAATTTCTCTTGCAGCTTTCCACTCCATTATCTTTATGTTTCTCTCTCTAATGCAAATGTGGCCACTGTAAACATCCTCTTTGGAGGACAAGATCATATATCTAGGATCTTCTCCACTCTCAACAATCAGTTTTCAGCATCTACCGGACCTCCTCCAGAAAAGAAAGGTGGTCTCGTATCCTGAAATAATTTTAGGTACATATCCATCTGACCTTCTCCACTGAAACTGGCCTGAGTCTGAGAGTTCTTAATAAGCCGCATTACTGCAGTTATCATCTTAATAAATGTGTCTGCATTTACAGTAATCTGCGGTGGTGCACCAACTTCTACAAGATCATTTGTAGCTTCACCCCCCTGATTTTCCATATTTCTGAAATAACATAAAAAATTACTCTTTCATTCATATCACTTATAAATTAATTTAATCATCCTAATGACTCTTTTAGATAATGATCACACCTAATTGACTTGATACCACTTTTTTCACGACCCGACCTGGTGTTTA